AACTCCACTGATTTAAGCAGAAGTTTGACATCAATGTATTAGACTTTGACCTTTTACACACTTTATTTAATTTGTTCAGAACTTTGTGGTTGCACACACCTTTAACCCCAGCACTAGGGAGGTAGAGGCAGGAGGATCTCTAAGTTCAAGGCCAGCCTGGTCTACAGAGTGAGTTCCAGGACAGCCAGAGCTATACAGAGAAACCCTGCCTCAAGAAAATTGTTTTCCAGTTTTCTTTTCCATTCTGAAAAAAATTCAAGCATCATCTTCTATGATATAAAAACATTAACAAATCAGCAATCAAGCCTATGTGATATCATGTCAGCTCTAGCTTGGAAGATAGTGATATGTAATTCCATTTTAATAAAAGAAAAGTGAATCCACACTGCATACATGATAAATGACTATTACCTGTGCTCAGACTGCTAAACTATGGTTAATCTTATAAAAAGCACAGGCAGTCTTTGTAACTACATAGTGATCTACTATAACTGCTTTTGGGGCTGGAGAGATGGCTAGGCATTAAAGGCTAGGCTCACAACCAAAAATACTATAACTGCTTTTGGTTTTGAGTGAGTATAAGTAGCAGATAGAACTGTATATTATAAGATAAATAATAGTCACAACACCTTTACTTTGTCTTTTTATCTATTTTTTTTTTTTTTTTTTGGTTTTTCGAGACATAGTTTCTCTGTGTAGCTTTGGAGCCTATCCTGGTACTCGCTCTGGAGACCAGGCTGGCCTCGAACTCACAGAGATCGCCTGCCTCTGCCTCCCGAGTGCTGGGATTAAAGGCGTGCACCACCAACGCCCGGCTAAATTTTTATTTAAATTATAAACAATCTTATTTTACATGTCAGTCCCAGTTCCCTCTCCCTCCCGTCTTCCTATGCCCCCCACCGACCCCCCATCCCATTCCCATCCACTCCCCAGGGAGGGTGAGGCCTCCCATGGAGAATCATCAAAGTCTGCCACATACTTTGACTGTCTTATTCTCTTTTCATCCTGTCACAGAATCAGGGAGCCAGCATGACTCAGGAAGGAAGTCTAGGAGGACAACTGAGACAAGCAGGCATGGTCTGATGTGGCAGGGCCATATTCCATCTCCAGAGCTAACTTCTCAGTGAGCTCAAACAGCACATGACAGTTCAGTGTAAATACAAAAGGCATTCGCCCCTCTATCAAACTGAATTCAGTAGTTTACACTGGACAGAAGACTTGCTTTTGAGTCTAGTGGCCACTGGCTGGACCTGTTGCACCTGTCCTCCCTAGAACTCGTATAGTTTGTCTAGATGAGTCTTGTCATCTCCTGGGCTGCACTTTGGGAACAGGGATTGATAAGGAACAGAAAATACTTTCCCTTTTGCAATGAGGATGTTTATCCTGTGCCGCTGAATATTGGAAGCATGTAACTTGCTTTTGTTTTGGAGGAGCTCACAGTTAAGAGATTACTTTGAGTCTCAGAAGATTTTTGGACTTTTTTTTTTTTTTTTTCGAGACAGGGTTTCTCTGTGCAGCTTTGGAGCCTATCCTGGCACTCGTTCTGGAGACCAGGCTGGCCTTGAACTCACAGAGATCCACCTGCCTCTGCTTCCCGAGTGCTGGGATTAAAGGCGTGTGCCACCAACGACCAGCAAGATTTTGGACTTTCAAATAGTGTTGGGACTATCAAAGTCTATGACAATTTTTGAAACTGAACTCAGTGTATTTTACACTATGAGATGGCCATGAGCCGATGGGGACAAGAAGTGGAGGAAGGGTTATGATTAAAAGTGATGTTTAGGTGTCAGGTTGACAAGGAGTGGACTTGTGATGGTTAATATTGTTTGTCAACTTACTAGGAACTAAAGTCACTGACGAGACAAGACTCTGGACATGCCTGTGAAAGTTATCTGTGTTAACTGAGGTGTTAACCATCTCATGGGCTTGGATCTCAGGATGAATAACACGGAGGTGGGATGAGCATCAGCGTGCTCTGCTTCTTGCTCCTTCCTGCTGCCACCACTTCTCCCCACTGGGATGAATGAACCCTATCTCCTGGGAGCCAAAATAAATCTGTCCATCTTTAAGCTGCTTTTGTTGTCACAATGATAAAAATAATTCAAGTCTGTTGGCCAGGCATGGTGGCACACACCTTTAATCCCAGAACTAAGGAAGCAAAGAGACAGGTGGATCTCTGTGAGTTTCAGGCCACCCTGATATACATAGCATGTTATAGGAGAGCTACAAGAAGAGATTGTCTCAGCAAAACATACATGCGGTTCTGATTTCACTTTTAGTGTAGCATTCAGTAAGTTATATAAGATATTCAACATTTTATTATAAAATAGACACTGGGTTTAATGATCAACTGTAAGTTACTTAGTAGGTTCTGAACAAATTAAGGTAGGTTAGGCTAGCTTATGGTATTTGGTGAATGAGTTATTTAAAAAATACTTTGAGCCGGACGTTGGTGGCGCACGCCTTTAATCCCAGCACTCGAGAGGGAGAGGTTAGGTGGATCTCTGTGAGTTTGAGACCAGCCTAGTCTACAAGAGCTAGTTCCAGGACAGCCTCCAAAGCCACAGAGAAACCCTGTCTCCAAACAAACAAACAAAAAAATACTTTGACAGTATTTTCAGTTTACAATCTGTTCATTGTAATGTGATTCTGTCATAAGTCAAGGAACATCTATATTTGATTAAGGTAGAATTTCCTGTCTGGAGGAAAGGGTATATAAGTGATGCTGGGGCAATTAGCTAAACTTTTGAGGGAGAAAATAAAGTTATCATTGGGCTAGAGAGATGGCTCAGTGGTGAAGAACCCTGGCTGCTCTTCTAGAGAACCCAGGTTCAATTCCCAGCACTCACATGGCAGCTCACAATTGTCTGTAACTCCTTCACACAGACGTATATGCCATCAAAACACCAATGTATTGGGGGCTGGAGAGATGGCTCAGAGTCGATCCTGAGTTCAATTCCCAGCAACCACATGGTGGCTCACAACCATCTATAGTAAGATCTGGTGCTCTCTTGTGGTATGTAGGCATACATGCAAGCAGAACACTGTACCTAATTTTAAAAATCTTAAAAAAAACCCACCAATGTACATAAAACTAAAAAAAAAAATTTAAAAACATTAAAAAGGAAGTTATCAGCCAAGTAGTGGTAGCACACGCCTTTAATCCCAGCACTTGGGAGGCAGAGGCAGGCAGATCTCTGTGAGTTCGAGGCCAGCCTGGTCTCCAGAGCGACTACCAGGAGAAGTCTCCAAAGCTACACAGAGAAACCATGTCTCAAAAAACCAAACAAACAAAAAGAAAGTTATCATGTTCTATATTTTATGAAACTAAATTTGAGATAAATTACAGTAAGTAGAAAAGCACAGTAGCATGGGAAAAGATGCTGAGCGTATGCCTGTCATCCTAGGGTAGAAAAGACATTTCAACACAAAGGCTTTCTGGGTGTGTGAGATATGGGCGTGGACCACTCACACAGCTCAGGGAGGTGCTATCAGAGGGCTAGCAGGTGTCTTCTTTTCCCGTCTGTGTCCCTTCTAGCTGTAATTTTGGAACTGGAATAACTGGATCTTGAGTGACCTTGGGCATGGAGGTCACAAAAAGTGGACCAGTGATATAAAGAGTGTCTTTGACAGGATCGACGGCCATTCTGGCTGTTGTCCACCTATCAAGGAACTCTTTTTTTCAATTCTAGGGATTGGACCCAGAACCGTGTGCATACTTAACAAATGCTCTACCACTGAGCTACACCTCTAGCACATCACTGAATTTATATGCAGGAATTAAACTCTTGTTTAGTTGTGAGTATATATGTATCCCTGAAGCTGAAACTGGTCATGACTCACCAGCCCAGACCCAAATGAAGGATAACTGGTGTAAGCCACTGGCTTCAATTCTGACTTTTAGAGGCATCCAGGGGGCTTTAAAGAAGCCAACAAAGGGCTGGAGAGATGGCTCAGAGGTTAAGAGCACCGACTGCTCTTCCAGAGGGCCTGAGTTTAATTCCCAGCAACCATATGGTGGCTCACAACCATCCATTATGAGGTCCTGAGTTTAATTCCCAGCAACCACATGATGGCTCACAACCATCTGTTATGAGATCTGGTGCCCTCTTCTGGTGTGCAGATATACATGGAAGCAGAATGTTGTATACATAATAAATTTTTTTTTTTTTTAAAGAAGCCAACAAAACAAAAGCCTACAATGTCTAGTTTCTACCCCAAACCAAGTATTTAAAAATCTCTGGAAGCCCAGCCTAGGTTAAGAATTTTTAAAAGGCCTCTAATGTGCAACCTGAGTGTGAACTGGGTTAAGGTAATCTGAATGAACATCTTTCCCTCATTACCTTTCTTTCCAGTGAAAGAACAGGTCTGGTTCCACCTATGAGGCCCAAGAAATTTGATGAGAATGTTTCAGAGACAGCTTTGATATTTTCTTTGTGCTGCTTGTGAGAGGGGTGTGTGTGTGTGTGTGTGTGTGTGTGTGTGTGTGTAGGTAGGTAGGTAGGTAGGTAGGTAGGTATGTGCATGCTATGGCATGTGCAAAGGTCAGCAGACAATTCCCCAGAATTGGTTCTTGCCTTCTGCTCTGTTTTGAGGCAGGGTCTCTTGTGCCTCTGCTGCATATTCCAGGTTAACTGGTCCACAAGCTTCCAGATATTCTCCTGCCTATGTCCTTTCTCAGAAGTCCTGGGATTACAGATGGGTGCTAATGCCTTCTTTTTATGTGGATTCCAGGGATCTGAACTCAGGTCATTAAACTTTCACAGACAATGTTTTTACTCATTGAGCCATCTCCCAAGTCCCAAGCCTTGATATTTCAGATAAGAAAGAATACAAATGGCTGGAACTGTTCTTTTTTTTTTTTTTTGAATTTAAGACTTTACTTTATTCAGCAAAATCATTTATTGACAGTGGGGAATGCCACTGTCAATTGAGCCATCTCCCAAGTCCCAAGCCTTGATATTTCAGATAAGAAAGAATACAAATGGCTGGAACTGTTCTTTTTTTTTTTTTTTGAATTTAAGACTTTACTTTATTCAGCAAAATCATTTATTGACAGTGGGGAATGCTGGTTTGATTTTGCCAATGAAAGAAACAAAAGTCTGACAGAGACCATACCGAAATGTGGGTACTTCTGTGGTGACCATCTGTTATCCTTACCTGTTATCAGGAACACCAAGAGACACAGTATCACAAGGACACTGCTGTAACAATACCACACAGGTCCAGCAAAACCCTGGGAATTTTGCAATGTAATTACCAATTTTTTCTTCTTTTATAAATGTATAAAAAACAAAAAGTCACCAAAACCAGCATTATGACTTAGTAAACAGAGTATAACCCCAAAGTCAGTGGTCAGTGGACACCTTACCAGACCAAGCTATTCACCAAGTGACCTGCACTTCAGCAGGCCATCAACCAGTATAGAATCCCATCAGGTGAAAAATACACCACTTCTACAAGACAGCAATGATCTGACGCAATGGAGGAAAAGCGGGAAAAATAAAGGGATTGCAGAGCATAGCCCCTATTAGAACAAGCTAACTGTCCAGACTTGCCAAATAAAACAAACAAAAACAAAAAAATGACTTCAACATGAAGCTACAATACAAAGTTTTTTTCATATTTTTTTGTAAAAAGTTCAGAGTCTGCCATTCGATCCTGGGTTGTTAATGAGGAGGACAGTTTTGGCCTGGACATCTCCTTGCCCAGGATAATTTTTTGCTCTTCTTTTTGTTGGCATTGTCATTCTTGTTCTAGTTTCATCCTTTTCTCATGAATCTTTCTTTGTTCTTCAACAATTTTCAATTGTTCTTTGGAGGGTTTTGGGAACTGTTCTTTTATCCATTTCCTACATGTGAATGAAAAAATGACATCAGCTGCTATTCTATGACTATGAAACAAGGATGAAGGCATCACACAAACCACTGGAGCTCAGAGAGGAGATGACAGAGAGCCTGGATCATTACTCAGCAGCTAAATCAATTCCAGTAACTCTACTTTCAGAAGCAATGGGAGAGAAACCAATAGCTACCATGATTATTGAGTTTTCTGTTTACTGCATCAGAACACATTCAGAAGTGAAATACACATATGGATCTACAACCAAACTATCATGAACATACCATTCCATCTGAAATATGTACATGGATAGAGGTGCTTTGTGGGATGGCTGTATCCAGCATGTGTACAAAGGAAAGTATACAGGGATATACACAGCAATGTTGCCGACAACACCCCAATCAGAATTCATGCTAAGCATTTGCCTATTTAAGAAGGACTAATTAATTTAGTAAATTAACATTATAGCATACTATGCAGTGGAGCAAAAGAATTTTTTGTACGGCATAGTGGTGCCACATTTAATCCCAAGCAGATCTCTGAGTTAGAGGCCAGCCTGGTCTACAGACAGAGTCAGTTCCAGGACAGCCAGTTCCAGAGCTACACAGAGAAACCCTGTCTCAAAAAACAAAAACAAACAAAAAGAATGAATTTCTCAGGGGCTGGAGAGATGCCTCAGTGGTTAAGAGACCTGACTGTTCTTCCAGAGGTCCTGAGTTCAATTCCCAGCAACCACATGGTGGCTCACAACCACCTTAAATGAGATCTGGTGCCCTCTTCTGGCATGCAGGCAGAAGACTGTATACATAATAAAATCTTAAAAAAAAAAAAGGGTTTCTCATTTTCTATGACATAGTGTCTTCTTAAATCCCTATGACATGTCAGATATTAGTGTTTCGAGAAAAGGGAAAATTATGTAACAATAAGCATAAAGAGTATGAAACTATTCTGAAACATACACTAAAACCAATACTATATTCTAATGTGTATACACATGAAAAAGCTTTGAAACAGCTAAATGCCTGTGGTTTGAGTGACAAGAAGCTTTGTCCTTATTTACTATTTCTATTTTTTAAAGAGAATTGTAACTCCAATTCCAGGGGATCTGACACCTTCACACCAATGCACATAAAATAATTTTTTTTTTTCAAGACAGGGTATCTCTGTGTAGCTTTGGAGACTATCCTGGCACTCGCTCTGGAGACCACAGAACTCACAGAGATCCGCCTGCCTCTGTCTCCCGAGTGCTGGGTTTAAAGGCGTGTGCCACCAATGCCTGACAATAAATTATTTTTTAAAAAGATACTCAAGCTAGTTAAATATTATTTAGAGTAAGAAGAGGTAGATCTCCGAGCAGATGGGAGGAGGGGGTGGGGGAGTGAGAGGAGCAGAAGAGGGAGGGGGAACTGGGATTGGAATGTAAAAAAATTAATAAAAAAAAAAAAATAAGAGGTAGCTCTCAGTGAGTTTCAAGCCAGCCTGGTCTTCATAGTGAGTTCCAGTTCAGCCATGGTTATATAGTTAGACCCTGTGTAAAATATTAACACTCTTTGCGGTGATAGAATATTATTTTAAGGTATGTGACTTTTGTTTATGTTGCATTTGTTTAACTGTATGAAGCGGTGTGGTCCTAATAATGTCTGGTAGTCCTAATAAAGAGCTGAATGGCCAATAGCAAGACAGGAGCAAGGATAGGCAGGGCTGGCATACAGGACGATAAACAGAAAGGAGAAATGAGGAGGAAGAGCAACAAGAGAACAAGGGGAGGAAGATGTCAGGGGCCAACGACCAGCCACCCAGCCACCAGCCACCTGGCCACCAGTGAACCACGGAGTAAGAGTGAAAGTAAGATTTACACAAGAGACAGATAAAAGCCCAGAGGAAAAGGTAGATGGGTTAATTTAAGATAAGAAAAGCTGGCTAGACACAAGACAAGCTTAAGGGCCAGGCATTCATAAGTAATAATAAGCTTTCATGTGTAATTTACTTGGGAGCTGGGTGGCAGGGCCCCTCAAAAAGCCCAAAAAGAGTAAAAACACCATACAACTACACTTTGCCATATCTGACTTCCTGGAATGGCACATGGATTCTTTTCAGGAGGCCGTTCTGTCCTGGCTGGCACACTGCAACAAGGCTGACCATCAGTACTGTGATCTGTGTCCTCATCTGATGGGTCTCCAGCTTCACTGTTACTGACACCTGTTTGACTTGCTTCCTTGTGGAAACACGTTCCTCTTCTATCTTACACATTCAACAACTCCTATAAGTACTAATTTTTGAATAATTTATGACCTTTGATTCTTTTTGTACCTGACTATCAATTAGAACTTTTTGATTGCTTTTCACTTATCTCCCGATTCCATTTTGCCAGAAGCCTCAACTCCATGTACCTTTCTGGCAAGATGGCCTTTATAATTTTTTGGGTTTTTTTGTTCTATTGAAACACGGTCTATGCAGCCCTGGCTTTCCTGGAACTCACTCTGAAGACCAGGATGGCCCTGAACTCACAGAGATCTACCTGAAAATGGCACTTTTAAATGAACCCAAATGCTTGTTTTCTTGATGAAGCCACCTACAACTAAGTGAAGATAATTTCCATTATCACCAGGCTCAACAGTATTGTTCATGATTCTCTATCTTTTCTCTCAGGTTTAGGCCTTGCACCAACCCTACTTCTCATTACCCATCATGTGTGTCTCTTCTCATGATTTCTCTCCTGATTTTCAGTTGACGTGGACATTCTTACCTGCACAGCATCGCAGCCACTATGCTGCGATCCCGTTGGTCAGTGGGACTGTCCGGTCCTTCAACTGCTTCAGATGCTGGTCTGGTCATTAACCGATGATGACTCCCTCCTTCTCTGAGAGATGTCCTTGGCCTATGTTATGCTGGAGCAAAGCAGGTTAGGAAGCCTTGCCTCAAATCAGAAAAATCTCGAGACATTATTCACACTTCAGAGCTCCCCAGGGAACCAGACTGGGGGAAAACTCCAGCTGAGGCTGCATCTTGCAGAACTCCTCCTGCCCCTTTCCCATACTGATACATTTCTCCTGAGAACACCCCTCCAGCCAGCCACTTTAACAACCCCCCTTCATCTTCGATTCTGGGGAAGCAGACACCACTTTTGCTTATAACCTACCTTATTCTACATTGAGTATAGTCACTTCTGTAAAATCCAGTGTATCCCACTTATCAGGAGTTCTACTTCTTCCAAAAACCTCCCAAACTGCATCTTCAAGGAATCACTCCTTTGATTGCTCATGGTTGTAAAGGGAAAAGAAGGAACAGGTCTTAACAGAGAAGAAATTTTGAACCCTTTGTGTGCCCAGGACTTCTTTGGAAGAACACTGAAACTCATGGATCACATCTTAGAGAAGGTCTTTTAAATGGATAAAATAATTCAGATTACAAAGGAAACTCATTATGTTCGTATATGATAATAAGAAAACTAACTTGGAATTGATGCGATGGCTCACTGGGTAAATATGCCTGCTGCCAAGCCTTATGACTTGAGCTCAACTCTTGAAATCTATATGGTGGCAGGAGAGTACCAATTCTGTTGGCCTCTGTTCTTTCACTGATACAAGTGCCCTGTGGTGCTCCCTTCACTCTAAATAAATAAAAAGCTAATTTGTAATAGAGCTGCATATATATCACGTCAATCCATTGAAAAACATGATCTATTTCGAGACAGGGGTTTCTCTGGCTGTCCTGGAACTAACTAGCTTTGCAGGCGAGGCTGGCCTCGAACTCGAGAGATTCGCCTTCCTCTGCCTCCCAGATGTGTGCCACCACGCCCAGCTAAGAATAAATGATATTTTAAGATATGCATCACAAATGAAATGTGTCGTGCAATATTTATATTAGCGACGAAGTTCAAGCCTATAACAACTGGTTAGAGCAAAGAATAAGATCCTGTAGTAAAAAAACAAAACAAACCCCTCAAAACACAGAGACTTGATAAATACCCGGTAACTGGATTAGGAGAAAACAAGCACATCTATCATAATATAACAGAAACATTCACAGACGCCTTAGGATTCTCAACTTGTTAATCGCACGTCTTCGCTGGATAAATAGCCATATACTTTTTTAGTATTGAAGTTTCAAAAGAAATAAAATCTGACAACTGAAGACAGACAAACCGGTTGTGTGTCCCGTGACGCTACGTTACTAAACAGAAGGACAGAGTTAAATGAATCTGCACAACCTTCCGACTGGTAGAGGGCAAATAACCGTCAAGCAGGACCGAGCCGAAAGGAAGTCCAGCTCCCACCGTCGCGCTCGCTTCCGGCGTCACTTCCCGCGCGACTCCCTCTGTAGAAGATGGCAGCGCTGAGCAATGTCCGCTGGCTGACCCGAGTGAGGCCCGGGACGTTTTGGGCAGAGGGTGGGCGGGAGAGCAGAGGGTTTGTCCGGAGTTTCCAAAAGGTAAGGCCGGCGCGGTGTAAGGGGCCTGGGTGTCCCAGATCTAACCTTATGTCTGTCGCAGGCGGTGGTCGCCGCTCGGAACCCCGGGGCTTGGAGAGGTCTCCGAACATCGGCTGCGGCTCACGCCGCTTCACAGACCCAGGTACGCTCGAGTCCGGCTTCGCCCTCGCCCATCCTTGTCGCCTCCTTGTCCGCTCCCCTGGGTTTCCGCTCTCCACCTGTCTCCCTCTGACTCCTGCTTCTGCCCCTGCTCCATCTCCGCTGGTCCCACTCACAGGCAGAAGATGTGAAGGTTGAGGGTGCCTTTCCTGTGACCATGTTGCCGGGAGACGGCGTGGGGCCGGAGCTCATGCATGCTGTCAAGGAAGTGTTCAAGGTGAGCGAGTAGCCTGTGGTGGGGGATGGGTGGTCCAGCTGCCAGACCTGACCTGGCCCTGTGCTTGGACTGATTGATACCTGAAGGCTGCTGCTGTCCCAGTGGAATTCAAGGAGCACCGCCTGAGCGAGGTGCAGAATATGGCTTCTGAGGAGAAGTTGGAGCAGCTGCTGAGTTCCATGAAGGAGAACAAAGTTGCCATCATTGGTTTGTATGCCTCTGTCATTTAAAGTCAAATGAGCAGTGTTCATAAGCCTCTCTCTCTCTGGCGTGTATATATCAGCTACCCAGACGGCCCTCTACTGATACTTGGGAATTTGTTTCTTATGGGAAGGGAGGTCAGCGAAGTTGCAAGGGTTTGGGGCCTGCTCAGGCTGTTGTCACTGTGGTCAGACCCTGTTAGCTGTGCCAGCAGTGTCCATTCTAACCGTCCCCTTTCTATTGCCTTCTTCTTCTTCTGTTTTATTCCCCTTATTGGATTCTTTTGGCTTCTAGATTTTCCCACATAGGCCATTTTCCAAATCTATTTTCTTGAACAGCCTGACTACCAGGGTCAGCTTTTGCAGAGGAAAGTCGGTTCGGTTCTTTCTGATCAGGCCCCTGGCTTTCCTGTTTTCCTTTCCACGACCTGTTCTGTGCTTTGCTCACAGTCAGCTGTGCTAGTTGTCGAATATATATATTCTGCCTTGACTTACGCTCTTCCCTCTACCCAAAATGTTTTTTTTTCCTCTGATGTCATCTATCAGAATAGCCACTCATATTCATTTTCTATGATTGCCATTGGATAGTACAATTTTTGTGGTGGCTGTAAATAGTATAAATGTACTCTCAGTTCTGAGGCTCTCTCTCTCTCTCTCTGATTTACCATTAGGATTTAGCCCTGCCCCCAATCCAGGACAATTTTATCTCAAGGCGCCTAATTCGATCTGAAAAAAAGTGTTTCTCCAAATAAGATAACATTTATAGCCTCCCACCACCCCAATAAATCATGTTTATGGTTTCTTGGTGTAAGGGCATGGGCCTGTCGGTTTGGGGATCACTGTTCAGCCCACTGTATTCACTTTTTTTTTGGTTTTTATTTGTTTTTGACCACTGTACTCACTTAACCAAGGAACTGACTATAGTGCCAGCTTTTCTGTAACATTCCTATTATCAGAGAGGATTCTTCCTCTGTGCTCCTATGCTTATTGTTAATATCATTGCTTACTTACTTGTGTTCTCCAATGTATTGTTTGCTTGTTGAGGGCAGGGGTTGTATGGTTTTGATTGCTATTCCTATTGCCTTACATTTTCAGTGAGTAGTAGCTGAGAAAATATAACATCAGTAGACACAGGAACATAAGGAAAGCCACTGATTCCCCATATAAAGTCAGTAGACACAGGAACATAAGGAAAGCCACTGATCCCCTAACGTTGCTTTTAAGCTTGTTATTAAACCCAGGTTCTTTGATTAAAAACAAGTGGTTCTTAGGTCATTTTGAAATTTCAACATAAATAAAAATTACTAAAACTAAAGTATTACAGTTTTTCTCATTTTAATTACATTATTCATTCTCCTTGGTTCTTGCTAGGGGCAATAAATAGAGGGTGAGGTATTTGGGGGTGGGAGATAGGAGACTAGGTTGCATGAAGTCAATGGGAGATTGGACCCTGGTCTCTGCTTGACCTTTGTCTAACCCTACTTCCCCCGCACTTTGTTTCCACAGGAAAGATCCATACCCCAATGGAGTATAAGGGCGAATTAGCTTCCTATGATATGCAGCTGAGGTAGGTGGATGGGTAGGCTTGGGTCAAAAGGGTACTGGGCACCTGGGACAGAGCTGATGGCAGTCTACCCTCAGGCGTAAATTGGACTTGTTTGCCAATGTGGTCCATGTGAAGTCACTTCCTGGGTACATGACTCGTCATAACAATCTAGACCTGGTAATCATTCGAGAACAGACAGAAGGGGAATATAGCTCTCTGGAACATGAGGTAAGGCCCAGTAACTGGGGAGGACAAGGAAAGAGGGAGGCGAGAGGTAGCAGCCTCCTTGGCTGCTTTCCAAACATTACCAGTCATTTCTGTCTTACCCAGAGTGCAAAGGGGGTCATTGAGTGTCTGAAGATTGTCACTCGAACCAAGTCTCAGAGAATTGCAAAGTTTGCCTTTGACTATGCCACCAAAAAAGGGCGGAGCAAGGTCACAGCTGTCCATAAGGCCAATATCATGTAAGGCATGGCTTTTTTGGGTTGGGTTCCTGGAGAGGTATCCCTTGAACTCTCAACTGATTTCTGTCTCTTTGATCCGTGAACAGGAAACTTGGGGATGGGTTGTTCTTGCAGTGCTGTGAGGAAGTTGCTGAACTGTACCCCAAAATCAAATTTGAGACAATGATCATAGATAATTGCTGCATGCAGGTGAGGTCCTTTGCGAGTTCCCAGAGGGAGGGTGGGGAGTGGAAATCTGTTTTGTTGTTGGAACTTTTCTCTTCATTCCCATAATCTCACCCCTAGCTGGTACAGAATCCTTACCAGTTTGATGTGCTTGTGATGCCCAATCTTTATGGGAACATTATTGACAATCTGGCTGCTGGCCTTGTTGGAGGAGCTGGTGTGGTCCCTGGTGAGAGCTACAGTGCAGAGTATGCAGTTTTTGAGACGGTGAGCAAGATTATTTTTCCCGTGGGATTGGTGGTGCACATCTTTTATCTTAGCACTCAGGAGGCAGAGGCATGTGGATTTCTAAGTGAACTCAAGGCCAGCCTGATCTATATAGGTCCAGGATAGCCAGAAGTAAGATATATAGTAAGACCCTGTCTCAAAAACCCAAACCAGCTGGGTGGTGGTGGATGCCTTTATCCCCAGTACTTGGAGGCAGAGGCAGGTGGATGTATGTTCACGGCCAGCCTGGTCCAGGACAGAGAAACCCTGTCTTAAAAAATAAAACAAAAAACCCCTCAAACCATCAATGAAAAAAGGAATGTTTTCTGTTGGTTATCTGTACCCAGCCTTCTCTCACCTCAGGTAGCTGTGTTTGTAAATGACCATGGCTGCCTCCTCTCCCACTCCCTACACCTCTTAGTCACCTTGGCCTGCCCTCCTCCTGTGCTATGCCTTTTGCAGACCTTCACCTTCTCAGGTGCCTGTCTCCTTCATGTGATTCTGCTCTGCTTTTTCCCACAGGGTGCTCGGCACCCATTTGCCCAGGCAGTGGGCAGAAATATAGCCAATCCCACGGCCATGCTGTTGTCAGCTTCCAACATGCTTCGGCATCTCAAGTAGGTTATAGGAAGCTGAAATGGGGTGAAGGGTGGGTGTTGGAAGGGGACGAGCAAGAGGGAGAATAGGGTGGGGGTGTTCTAGTTGGATTCTGAGTTCCTCCTGTCTGTGTTGACAGTCTTGAATACCACTCCAACATGATTGCAGACGCAGTGAAGAAGGTGATTAAAGTTGGCAAGGTGAGTTCAAAAAAGTTTCAAAGGCTAATAAGCACATTTAATGGGGAACTTGTGAGGGGCACTTTTCCTCCAGGTCCCCACAATACCTGCTGTCATATCATAGTTATTCTTCACCTTCCTTCCTTGGCTATTTCATCCTCTTGGTTTTCTTTGCCTTAGTTCCATCTGCTGTTCCTTTTCCTGCACCATCCATTGCCTTTCTTGGGCATCTGTCCAGGGGGAGGATAGCAGGCAGGATTACATACCTGTCTTTCTTCCCTCCTGGTCTTTTCCTGAAAGGTAACCTCATCCTTTGGTATTCATTTTCCCATCCCTCTGACTGCTTAAGAGTGAGCAGGCCCCTGTTCCTCCTTCCATTCTTGCCACATTCATTCTATCTTTTCTTGGTCTCCATCTTATGCCCATATTGCCCCATCTTCTTCATGGGCTCTCTTTTCTTCCCCACGGCTATTGCTGGTGGTGGCTGTAGGTACGGACTCGAGACATGGGCGGCTACAGCACAACAACTGATTTCATCCAGTCTGTCATCAGCCATCTGCACCCCCATGGGGGCTAGAGCCCTCACTCCCTCCAACTCCAAAGGACCATGCTACCTACACATCCCTTCAGTACAATGGACCAAGGAAGAAAACATCTAACAGTAGACCCTAATTGCTTTTCTGGCAGAGGCTAGGTTATCCTGGGGGCTGGTGGTATAGGGTACCTGCACAAGGTGGGTGTTTGGGACTGGATCCAGACCACAGGATGATGACAGCTTTTTCCTACAGGTTCGAACCTCAGATATGGGTGGTTATGCCACTTGTCATGACTTCACTGAAGCTGTTATTGCTGCCCTGTCATAAGTCTTACAATGTGCACATGTAAAATATCCAATAAAACAAACATACAAACTATGTTTTTTGTGTTTTTATTGGGGTTTATCATGGGTAGGAACTGTTACCTTAAGGTATGCCCCTCCCACAAAGCATGTCCATTCTAATCCTCCTGGGATGCCTTCTGGGACTTTTTCTTTTTCTTTGTATTCTTTGTATAGCTAACGGAAGGGGCAGGTTCAGGTTCATCAGTAAATTTCCTTTTCTTCTTGGGGATGATGGGGCTTGCTGCCTCTTCTGGGTCACTGACCATTTCCTCTTTAGGCGAGGATTTCTTCCTTTTGGGAACACTTACACTGCAAGTAGCCACCTCTTCAGAATCACTGGGCAACTCCTCCTTGGGAAAAGCTTTCTTTTTCTTACTTTTAGGCAAAGAGACAGGTGGATCTTCCATTCCATTTTCCTGTGGAGCCTCCTGGGGTTTTAGCTTTTTCTTCTTCTTAGGTTTTTCATTTATCTCCATCTCCTGAAGGGGAATAAGACATGAAACATGTTGCTTGTACAGGTCAACTGCCACAGTTCCCATCAGACTCCAGGCAGAAGAACAAAACAACCTAGTGCTTCTGATGACTTAGTTTCATGGGCACTTTGGTAATCTAGTCTTCAAAGCTACTGTACTCCCAGTTGGAGAACTCCCAGTTGGAGAACAATGTGGATTTTCTTGGCCCTCTTAAACCCTAGAGGAAATCCCTGTATGCTGGTCAGAATAGACATCATGCAGAGCTCCCAGGAAACCTTGAAATCGAAACACTTAGCTCAAGATGAAAACCCTGGCGGGGCCAAGTTTAGACTGTTACTTTGGCGACTTTCCTGCCCCCACCCCCCATTATCATGAGACACTATCACCTCTAGACAAAGAACAGGGAGAGCAGGAATTCACACTACCCCCGGTTGAGGACTCCTGGGAGGCAGCCGAGGACAGAGCACACTTGCCCAAGGAATGAGCCATGTGCTACAACCAGCATTCTGGGCTCTTGGTCAAGTTCTCTCAGCACCTATCTCCTCCCTATAGGATCAAGAGGTAGTTTTAGTCCAAAAAGCCCAAGCTCCAGACCTTGGTTTGATCCTTTGTTCTACTGTTGAAGTCCTATACAACCTAGGACACACATAGGACTGACCTCACACTCTTCTGGAGTGCTACTGTTTTCTGAAGATGCCAGGGCCAATGCAGCCAGTCGCTTCTTTTCCTTCTTCAAGCGTTTCTTCTCCTGTTTTTCCAGCTTCCTGGTAATTTCAGCAGCCGCTTCCTCTGCCTGGCAAAAAGGATAGTACTGAAAACCTGGAAGACCCTGGCTTGCCACTATACTCCTACTAGTTTTGCTGGATCAGGCTCATTAAATCAGTTTTCTTGCCTCCATCTTAAGTTCAGGCCAAGACAGTTCATCACCTCCAACAGCCAACTATGGTATTCAGCTACCCCAGTAAAGTCCACTGACCTGAACCATAGCTTCCTTCATGACATCCAGGTTCTTCCGTGGGATCTCTCCAGTCTCATAGAAAGACAGCCGCTCCTCAACTTGTTCTCGCAGTTTCTCCCCAAATACACTTGTGGGCACCTCTAGATGCACATGTATGCATAAACAAAGGCCATTATAACCCTTGAAATTACACAGTACTCTCTAGTCCCTCTACCCTCAGCTTCACTCAGACCCAAAGTGTCAACACTCACTATGTGAACTCTGTTGACGAAAAATATTACCATCATTGTAGAAGCTGCCAGTTTGCTTCCCCTCCCTTGCAACCCCTTCAAATGCCAACTTCCTCATCCATACCAGAGAAGCAATCAATTCTTGAGGCAATACTGCATTTGTTTGCTAGATATCGGGAGATGCGGCCTTTGTTCTTTGCAGCTGCTCGACCGATGAAGGTGGAATGGAAAATGAGTCCATATTTTGGTGTATTGCCCCTTGTCTTCAGGGCTCTGTGGGAATGTTCAGTCAACAGTTTAGAAGATCTGACCCAACTGTCCAAGTTCCCCTTGCCCCACAATTTCACACCAGGCTTGGCTGGACTTTCTACCTCAACACACGCCAACCCAGTTCCCAGAGGCAGAGGGAAGGCATCCAATGTCGCTGACCTGGAAACTTGGTCCCTTTTTGCTGGGCCCTGGGAATCACTCAGACACCAGGACTGGCCATCACCCCCATAGCAGAGGCCTGTATAGGTCAGGGAGTCCTGGTCAGCCATCACTGTAATCCCCAAACAAAGCAGCGGGCACCAGAAGTAGCACCTGACATGGGCAGGCACCCTCACTGGTACCTGAACAGGGCCTTTTCAGCCCCAAGGATCTGTACTGTGGATGCTGGGTACTTGGCCAGGTTGGTGAGGCTGCCAGCATGCGCAATGAGACGTGCACCTACCTGGAGAAAGATCCAAGGAAGAAGCCAGGTGAGTAGGGGGGAACTTGACGTATCAGTTTCACCCCTATTTTCCTCCCCACCATGCAACAACTAGGGACAACATGGTAGCCAGAAGTATAGCGGTACAGTATGCTAACATTTTTACTCCCCCATTTGTATTCCCATAACGCACCGCTTCCCCAATTAAGGCTGACAGGCTGGGGGCTACTTGGCTCATCTTGGAGCGAAGGTAAGTGTGTAGGCTCTGGCGATACTCTGACAAAGACACCACACGACTGGAGAAGCTCTCGATGTTTATCAAGTCGATAGCAGATATGTCCATGCCTAGGAAACACCTAGTGTGAACAGGGGGACCACATACTCAAGGAGTCTCGTACCTTATGCAGGTTGCCAGGCTCTGCACTGACCCATGGAGGACCGAGAGGCATCCAAAATGGCCTTAGCCTTGGCCCCATCCATAGTCAACTCTTCCAGCTTCTCCAGCTTTTCCTCATTCAATTCCCTGCGGTTTCCAATGAATTGAGCCAGGCGACAGTAGGTGGCATTGTCATTGATGATCTTCACCAGCTCTGGAAAGTGGTACCCATACCACTCCCTGCAGAGTTACAATCATTCCCTTACCCAGTTTGCCAAACCTCAAATAAACCAGATCCCAAGTCTCCCTCAAATCCATGTCTCCCCATTCACAATTCAGACCAGGCACAATGGCCTAGGCTGAGGTGTACATGGGGTAGGTTTACTCTGCCTCCTCTTTCTATACAGTCAGTGTTAAGAACACAGCCTGTGGTAAGCACAAGGAGGCCTGGCTTTAGCCCATGATTATACCCGCAGGAATTGTCAACCCTGCTTGACCCTTGTTAAGTTTATAATAGCTAAACCACAGGCCAAAGAGCCCAGTGTTTGGTAGCCCACGCACTGCATCTTACCTGACACGCATTGAGAAGGTATTGATATCTTTATCCAGTTGGTCCAGAAGGCTTATGGACTGGATGATCATGTTGTCCACCCGGTTCACATTAAATTTCACTTTGGCCCGAGAATAGCTGTGTCCCAACCCTAGCTGGGCTTTACACGCAGACAGGTCTGTTAGACCCTTCACCAGATTATGGAAGTGCAGACGAACTCCTAAAAGGCGGGACTATGAATAAAACACGTGGCCACGGAATAGCCAAGATAACCATCTACCTCTTGTCTCCCTCTTCTGGCCTCTGTGGGCACTGCACTTACATGGTGCACGCAGTAAGTGCAAGCACTAACACATAAAATCTTAGCAGCTTTGGAACAGTAGGACTATCTTACCTCGAAGGATCTCAGCTATCACACCTCCAGTCTGGCAGTTGTACCCCAACTCCTCTTGTATTGCAGCACCAATCTTGGGGTCTCCAACCCCCAGCAATACTTTCTTTTTTTTAGACGGCAGGTATGTCTCCAGGAGCAGACGGAGGTCCTCATGAACAACACCTTGGGACAAAGAACACTTTACCTGTAAGACTCCACCTCCACATCGGATCACGAAAGAACACCCACCCCTCCAGGCATTGCTCAGAAACATGGAGACATCAGTGATCACACTCAGTGGATTGACAGATTTTTCAAGTCATCAGTGCAAAGCCTGGCTTCACCACGGTGGCACAACTGTGAAGCAGTGAGCTCCTACTGTCATCTTGTAGGTCCCAATACCTAGCATGCATCACGTGCTCAGCAAAATCATCTTAGAACACCGTCGCTTAGAATCACTCGTCGCTGAGCGACTAACTCACCTTCAGACACGGCATTGGCATTTTCCAAGGCAACCTGGGATGAAGAAAACGGACAGAAGGCGACCAGACGAACGACATTGTGGAATTTGCCAAGGTTAAGTACACACTCCTCCACCTGCGGAGAGGAGGAATGAATGGGCTTTCTTTGAATTTGGCCTCCACAGCGCAGTAAACCAGGAACCAGCTGTAATATTCATGGGAACACTGGTGCCTAAGCTCCACATCCCGATTCTACTTTAATTCTCAAGATTTGAGGTGTTTATCTCCACTCTCTAAGGAGATTATACAGATACGCATTAATTAAAAATCTCGTTCCTGAGCTTTCACCCCCCCCTCTGCCGGTGCGGTCGGCCACGTGGGAACACGCGGTGCATGATGGGGTTCGGCGGCCTTAGGGGCTGCATTGCAGCACCCCGAGCCCACCGATCCCACCCACCTGCGGTAGCAGCAGGCTGATTTCCTCCACTTCCTTCAGGGCCAACAGCGCGTAGCCGACCGCATGCTCGAACAGCACGTGCAGCACAACCTGAAACGGGAACCGGCGCGCGGCCATCAGTCAAGCTACCGAGTCCCGCCGGCCGCTCTTAGAGCAGGTCCTGGCCCATACTCCGAACCCGAATCCGAACGCACACCCAGACCCGCACCGAGGCCTTCTCGTCACTAATAACCCACAACCACTCCTCACCATGGCGCCTGCTCCGTGCCCAGCTCGCAATGCGGCTAGCGCGCTCTGGCGCGCGGAACTAGACTGCGGAGACCACGCCCTCCCCTCCTTGGCCAATCAGAGGCTGAGGACGGAACCATTTTCATGTCTTCGGAGGGGTTCGCGGGTGTGGTATCGTCCGCCGGGCGCGCTAGACTGCAGCGGGCGCGAGCGGGCCGGCCCATCCCAGCCTCTGGGGGAGCCGGTGCGGAGACCGGGGCAAATGGCGTCCGTTCTAGCCTGAGGCTGCATAGTGCTCTGGAGACCGCCCTTGTCCGTCTCTCGTGCTTTTGTCACCGTGGGCCGAGCGGCAGAACTCGGTGAGGGGACGAGACACTCCATGACGAGCGTCGCAGGCTTCCCGCTGGCCCGAGGCCTCTGGTGACAGTCCGGGTCCTTGCCTGCCGCCTGCGACTCCGCCTCAGACGCTGCAAAAATGGCGGCTCCTCGCCGCCTGCCTCTTCCTCGTAAATTTTATTGCTCAGAAAGTACTGGTGCGAGCAGTAGCGTGCATAGGAAGGGTGGTTTAGGTCTGTTCCTTGCCCTGTTTCACAGCTCTGCGCCAGCTCTGCGCGGAGCCACGTGTTTGTCATCGCCCGTTAGGCCCTTATCTAGCAAGGAGCAGCTTCCTGCTCTCCAGGGCTGCTTTTAGGCACACCGAAGTGGCTAGTTTAAAATTACTTTTTCTTTAAAGAAAGAAAAAACCTTTTTAAAGTAATGTTAGAGTTACAAGTCCCAAACGTAGTTATATTTTAGATACTCCGTGCCTTAATGGGTTAATAACAATGCCAAGATTTCCTCCCTTCCATTCACTCTTTATTTTCTTTCGACCTCGCATTTCCTCACCCTCATCTCCCGTCCTTTCTCTCTCCCTCTTCCCTTTCCGTCCGCACCTCTCCCCGCTTCCTTTCTTTTCCCTTCCTCCTTCCCTCTTTATCTCTTTCTTTCCAGGGCTGTCTTTCAATTGGCTCTGTAGCAGAGAATGACCTTTGAACTTCTGATCCTCTTGCCTCCCAGCCCTGTGCCATCTATAGAGAATCCATTGCAGACCCTCTGCTTACTCTTCTACAACGCCTAGGGAGATTTTGGAAATTCTATCAGAAAGCACATTTATAAGTTAGGTCTGTTTTGTTTTCTTAACTCAGTGACTTCACAAAATTCAAGCACAGGGGCTGTAAACATGGCTCTTCCAGTAGGTCCAGTGTCTCCACAGACACAGGAGGATTAGGTCTTGTCATTTCTGGTCCTTAGCCCTTTGCATGCTTGTTGACTTTGTCGAATAAGAAATGGGCTGATGAGTCCCATGGAGAGGTAGAAGCCCTGAAACTATATGGAAATGGACAGAGGCCCAGCCCTCCAACTCTCATTGCCAAAATAGACTTGTGTCCTACCCCTTGCCACTGACTTCAGCTGCATGGAACCCTAGAAGTGACCAGAAGGGCCATGTATGTGTACCCTGCGGGTGAAAGCCCAAGCTTTGTGACTTCCAGTGTGACCTGAAATTAATCACCTAACTTTGAGATTCTGTTTCTTCAGATAAAGACTAGAGATTCATTCATCTCTGTAACAATCTCCTACTGAACATCTGGTAATGGGTATGGTACCTGACATGCTGAGAACTCAGATGCTAGTGGTTGTTCATCTTGTTTTTTGGGTCATTTTAGAACTCACGGTGATTCCATTGCTTCTTCCTCCTAATGCTGGGGTTAAAGGTGTGCACCACCCACCCCACCACACCTAGTTTATTTTATTTTTGGCTTCTCAGGACAGGGTTTCTTTGTGGCTTTGGAGGCTGTCCTGGAACTCCCTGTGTACACCCAGGCTGGCCTCGAACTCACAGGATCCGCCTGCCTCTCCTCCTGAGTGCTGGGATTAAAGGTGTGTGCCACCACTGCCCAGCCTTTTTTTTTTTTTTTTTCTTCAATTTATTTATTTTTTTAATTACTGAGTGCTCTAAGAAAATGCGCAAGATTGGGCAGCAGCACACGCCTTTAATTCCAACACTCGGGAGGCAGAGGCAGGAGGATCTCTGTGAGTTCGAGGCCA